GACTATGCCTCACGCAGGCGGTCATCCATCACTTCTCACCGGTGTGGATGTACCACTTGAAATCACCCCTTTCTGCTTTTTAAAATCCCTTCATCTACTCCAGACTTTTCAACAGTAAAGAAGCAGCTCAACCACAGACAGTGGACAGCTTATCTCCAAATGGACTCAAACAGTCCATCGGACTACCTGGAAGCCCTTTTCTTCTATTAAACCCACTTCCAGGTACTTCATCGTTTCCTGGTTGGTGGACTTGGCCTCTGACAGGCCTACTCAGAGAGCTCCCAGCCTCACATCCGGGGGTGGGAGAGGACCCTGCTTTGGGGGAAATCAGTGAGGAAGGCGGACATCCTCCAGCCAGGTCTGCACGGGTAGAAGTGCCACAACGTGCTCAGAAATTATACCGTCAGCACCCCTGGGCTCCCATGGACTGGTTTCACATTAACCAAATTCATGAGAGACTGATGTAAGATAACCAGAAATTTAACTTATTAATGTAACAGGAGACGTGAAACTACGAACCAGACTGAAATATCAGAGTTTAACCATGAGTACATTTTCTCCTCAACGGCCCAACCACGGGCAGGTAGTCACATGGCAAGCGTGGACAGAAGCAGAGCAGGAAGGGTTTCTAGATTACCTCAATGGAATAAATTTCTGTTATATGAACAGATCTACTGACTGGAAAACAATTAACGCAAATCACGGTGCACTCTTCGTGGACACTGGCCGAGACATGACTGTGAGAACCTGTGTAACTCTTCTTTCCCTGTCCTTTCTGGGCTAACTGATGCACAGAGGTACAGAGATACAGGCATGCAGATATCTCTAAACACCCAAAGCCCATCTCTGGCAGCCTCAAAACCAGATAGCCAGGGTTTAAATATCAGCTCTGCCCCTTACTAGCTCTGTGACCTTGGCTAAATTACTCTCTCTTTGCCTCAATTTCCACATTGTGAAACTGGGTTAACAATCAAATCCTCCTTATTGGCTTGTTGAGAAGATTGAAGGATTCATTTCTGTAAAACTCTCAGAAAAGAATGTAGCACATTTTTGGTGCTCAACAAATGTCAACTTAATATTAAAGTGATATACAAGTCTCGTTTCTAATCTTCTGTGTTTCCTGGATATTCTAAGTCCCAAAGGAAATCCTTATTTCTCCTTTTATAAACTCTTGGGGAGCACCCTTCTGTTCCACCCCACCACCTGTTTAAACTGAGGGAGGGGATGCCTCCTCCCCATTCCTCTGGGCCACGGAGAGTGCTTCTCCCTTCACACCCCTGACCCCTGGCCCACAGCTAGCCCTTGTCACACTAACAGAGTGAGGTGTGAGTCCGGGGAGACAAGCAGGGCATGTGAAACCCTTCCTTTCCCTCCAGTGTTGGCCACCCTCGGGAAGCACCTGGGATGCTCAGCTCCGTAGCAGGACAGCCCTGTGCATGATGGGGCAGATCCTCTCAAGGGAAGGCTCGCTGTGGCCCAGAGCTACCTGGGACAGGATGAGTCTCTACTTCTGGGACACAGTATCATGACACTCATTTTCCCACAGCCCTGAAGTTCATGGAGAACGTGGCTTCATCAGTAACAGAGAAGACATTTATAGCCTGCCTACTCTTCTGTATCATCTCTCAGTTGGATGCTGGAGACAACATGTGTATAAGTATTGGATCCCCTTAAGCCCCAACATATAAGAAGTAACAAAAAATTCTGTGGCTTAACGTTGTTTCAGGGCGACTGTGTAACAGTTCTGTCTCTGCTGATGCTTAATTATGGGTATAGGAACTATGGAACCTCCTCAAATATCTTTCATCATAAAACCAGCTTTTCTTATTTTCCTGTTTCTTAGTAATTGCCAAAGACTATAAAATGATGGCTTCACACAAAACAGCAGCTGAAGTTTATGGCCCTCTTGACATACCCACTGTGGTAAACAGTTTACATAATTTCTAATTCTCACAATTCTACAAAGCAGATACGAGAGGTCCCATTTTACAGACGATGGATAAACACAGAACGAACTGACTCAGGCTCACGTGGCTCAGTGGCAGCACGTGCACGCAAACCCAGATCAAAAAACTTCACCCCTTCGTATATGTACCAAATCACCTCCCACCAATTAACACACAGCGGCGGGGTCAATACTCAGGGAGCTCAGTACACTTTTCAGCTTTAAGGTGCTCCAGAGGGCGCTTCTAGCTGTTTTATAAAATCCCGGCTCACTGGCTTGTAACACTGGAAGAAAAGTGTGGTTTTGCCTTTGTTGCACAACAAGTCTGAAATGTTCACAGCGAGATGGCAGAGTAAAACAAAGATATAGGCAGAATAATTTTTCCAGGTAGACAGACATAATGGACATTGTGCTATCCAAAAGCATTAAGCAAAGAAATCAAAATAAAATCACGTTGTTTAAGCCTTCTTTTATGAACAGGAAAATTAAGACTGTAAGAAGGTGCAACAGCGCCACCTATTGCTAAAAAGACCTTCCAGGTTGCCGGGAAACATGCAACACAAAAATTGCCTGTAGGATCAGAAACAATAATCAGATAATAAAAAGCTTATGTAGCACATACTGCACTTTGCTTCGGGGAAGGGAGGGATATTCATTATTTAATCTGATATTGCTAATACTCCTGAATATAAACAAAAGATATAGGCTCATGGAAACTCATCTTAGAAGAGGAAAGAATCCAGTCCAGCCACTTCATTTTACAGGAGGGGAGACTGAGACCTGGGATCTGTTCTCCTGGCAATCAGTAGCAAACCTCTCCTAGGCCTCATGTCTTGCACTGTAGCAAAAACCAACAGATCTGAACTAGGCCTATATTCATAAAAGTCACGTCTGTATTTTTCCAACAGTAGGTAATCTAAGTATCTTGCAAAATACTTCTCAAAGAGCCAGGAAATCATACAAGTTTGTTGAAATACAAAAACTTTTATTTATATATTAAAACAGCATGAGCTTTATTCTCTCTATTAAAAAAATGACATGTCAAATCAATGTTTTGATATTTTAAATCCTGTTAAAAGTGCAGAAAAAAATAACAAAATTTTACTTTTAATTCACAAAAGAAGAGAAGCTTATTCCCTGAAAATAGATCAATGTGGATTTTTTAAACTTTAATGGTTCTGGTCAGATTCCCACCGAATT